CACAGCGTTTTAAATCATGGCGGGTGAGGGCGTTTTCGTACGCGTTTGGCCAATCAATGTATACTTACGTCACGATTAGTACCAGTTGTGCTGGTTAGACCCTGCTCCGGAGTAGGAGCTAATTTGGTTCTCGAAAAAGGCAGTCCGGTACTAAAATCGCTCCCAGTTCCGGCGGTGCGAAAACGCCAAAAAGTGGGTAGTTCCACAATTAGTTCTGGTACTATGAAAAGGTTCCTGCGGTGCGAAAGGCCCTATAATGACTTTGGTCATGCCGTCCACTCCAGTCATGAGTATTTCAGTGTTGTGAAGCTGATACCTTGAGTCCTGCCCGCTGGAGGAAGCCTCTCATGGCCTGCAGCTGGAGCTGAGGATGACCTCTCTCTCTCTTCACCTGCTCCAGCGCGCTGGCGTTCGTCTGGAGGGTGTTGAGGGTGCAAACCGCATCCTGGAAGACATTCATAACGCTACAGGATCTCAAAGACTTCATGCCATCTCATCCACCAGCTCTGAAGCTCATGAAACTCTCATGTTTACATCCAATCCTGATTTATAACTCGCAATATAAGTGCTGGAAGTAATTTTGAGCTGATATTCAGAGAAGATGTCCATGTAAAGCTCTAGTCTCTACAAACTGAGGCTTAACTCTTGCTTTACTAACAAAACACTTAACTTATGAACTCTTTCATAATATTTAGTCAATGTTTAGCCAGAATATCTGGTTTATGTAGAACAATCATATTACAACTTGCAAATGAAAACTAAATATGTTTTATTGCTGAATGTTTTGGTTGGTTGGTGGAAGTGATCAGATGAATCATAGATGAAGCAACTGGCAAAATATAATCGCATATATTGACAATCACTTATTAACGAAACAGAACTTGCTTGACTAGCGAAGTAAGATGAGGTAAATCTAGTCTTGACACCATAAAAAATCTGGGGAAATCTCAGAAAGAAAAAAAAATTGTATTTTGAATCTAAGATATGCAAGTAGTTTAATAAATGTGAATATTAAAAAAACTTTCATTATATTCTAAAAAAAACAAAACGTATATTCTAATATTATTCTACATATTTACATAATAACATAAAATCATTGTTATTCATCACAAATATCAACACAAAGCATTCATTGTTTTTATTTAACTGTCTTTTGTATTTAATACTAATAATAATAATAATACATTTTATTTATAATGTGCTTTTCTAGTACCCAAAGTGCTACAAACAATTGGAAATAAAACAAATAAAATACAGGAAAAAAAATCCAATACAAAAAAAATCCCTTCATTTCTTATATTTTGAATATAAGAGATATAGGTTTTAAAAAAATGTAATAATTTGTTATAATAATAAACAATAATTTAAAACTTACAAATTATCTAGTTTCCATATATACATATATATATTCTAGATTTTTTAAACCTTTTTTAAGAAATAAATTCTGCATTTTATCAATATTCCAAATGTTAACAATTATGCCAATAAATCTTTTATGACACTGACTAATAATACTAGGTCAGATTTGACCTCTACTATATCAACTGTCACCTAATTCTCTAATAAACATAAATGATACAACAAGCTTAGTAATGAATGAAATTTGGATCTATTCTTCCCTTCTACACTCACATGTATTTAATCCTCAGTTATGGCTGCCTGAGCACATGGCCTTTATGAAAGTATGCAGAATATATGGCAAGCTGTTTTGACAGCTATTGCTTAATATAACTAGTATCTATTTTATGTTAATACTTTATAATTACTAGTAAATAATCCAATTGTGACTTATTTACACAATTATTCATTACATACTAGTACTAATTTCTTTGCTATCATCCAAACAGTGACAACTTTCTATTCATTTGTTATTGGTAACAACTTGCACTTCGTTACGTTACCTGTAACAGTTGCTTGTAACTACTGGGAAAGTGACTAGAAGCAAAGAAATACGTAGTATATAAGTGCGAATAACATTTTAAAAGATTAAGTTTGTTATGCATAAATCAATGTTGTACGGCTTGCCACTAATATATACTGAGCTCAATGGAATCCACATGATCTCACATGCACACATTACGCGGAAAAAATTTGCCGCTCTTTGATTTTAAACTCTAACGGCTGATGTAACAACCGTTACAGATGAATCAGGCGCGCACGCTGGATTTACAGCGTAATTTCAACCGAGCCCAAAAATAAAACTGCCAGGTAAAAGTCCAAATAAAAGTGCACAAACTCAACATGTATTGTTAATAATTTCCATACAAACGCATAACATATGGACGCATGCTTTACCTGATAGTCCATTCTTCGGAACCGCGGAGCAGCTTTAGTACTGGAGAACCTCACAGACAGCTCGGCGATTTTGGTCCAGTGTCGGTTGCTCGCGGAGGCTTCGGTACACGCGTGTAAACGCTCCAGCACGCAGCACAGGCGCAGCATGGTGACCCGGAGAGAGAGAGCAGGAAGCAGCTCCAAATTTGGTGAGTTTTCCTGTCAATATGGAACTCTGGCGTCATGCCACGCCTCCTTCCTCACCGTACAGATTTCACTACTGTTTACTATCGCCGGTGCGAGTGACAACAATTTGGTGCATTCGATTACATACAGAATTCAGTGATGATTTGTGATTCGAAGCGGATAGTTGAGTCACCATAACATTTCCAGTTCGCTGTCGATTCAGACCACAGCAGACCTCCTGTTTTAACCGGGCTGTGCGTTCATGAGCTCAGAGAAACACGCCGCGCTGCACGGGTTCATGTTTAAAAAAAACTGAAGCACCATCCAGTGCTGTTAAACGCTTCCCACGTGTCAGCTGTCTTCGAGAGCCAGCGCGCACGTGGTACTGCGCATGCGCACTCTCGCTTATAACGCAGCACCGCCACCTACTGGATAGAGCTGGGGAGAAAAGCGTCATTTAGGGATGTCATGTAAATCAGCTCAGATAACGTTTGATTGAGCTTTATAGTTTTGTATGTTTATTTTTTATTTAATTTATTTTCTCATTAGCAATTATAGTTTATTAATTAATTCGTTCAGTTCATCGACAATATGATCATTAAAATATATTCGGACTGGAAGGAAATTTAACTACTTCATGACTGTTTCATTGCATTTTTTAAATTCATTTTGTTAAAGCGATAGTTCACCCAAAAATAGTTGGTAAAAAATCAAACAGTTGGTGGTTGCCGTTGTATGGAGCCCCTAAAGGGACATGGTGGTGGGAAAAAAATTCGGGGTGGGAGGAAATTTTTCTTTGCGTTCCCTCGAGAAACTTTGCGTTCCCTCACAAAACTTTTGCGTTCTCCCGCAAAGATATTTGCGTTCCCTTTTGCGTTCTCTCGCAAAGATATTTTGCGTTCCCTCGCAAAACCTTTGCGTTCTCTTGCAAAAGATATTTGCGTTTTGCGAGGGAACGCAAAAGTTTTGCGAGGGAACACAAAGTTTCTCGAGGGAATGCAAAAGTTTTGCGAGAGAACGCAAAAAAATCTGACAAATATTTTTTCCTCCCACCCCAAATTTTTTCACTCAATCTGATTTTTTTCCACCACCATGTCCCTTTAGGGGCTCCGTACCATTGACTTCCATAGTAGGAAAAAAAAATTACTATGGAAGTCAATGGCAACCACCAACTGTTTGATTACCAGCAATCTTCAAAATATCTTCTTTTGTGTTCAACATAAGAAAGCAACTCATACAGGTTTGGAACGACATGAGGGTGAGTAAATGATGACAGAATTGTCATTTTTAGGTGAACTACCCCTTTAATTGAAGTAACAAAACTAAATTTTTAACATTTATTATTTAATAAATGTAATATTTAATTGATTTAATAAGTTATTTATTTTTATTATTTAATAAAATTAAATAATAAATAATTTTTTGTAACATTTTAAAATAAAATCAAATGTGTTGTGGCATATTTAAATTAAATTACCATTTATGTATAATAATATTCACAAGCAGGACGCAAAGTGTACAATCAGGGTTCTCAGCTTGGCTTCTGGAGATATAATTATATATATTTCTAATTCAGATCAAATATTTAAACTAGTTAAAACGATTTCAATCTCTCCTGCAGTTTTGCTAAATGACCAGTAGATGTCGAGAGAAGACGGTGGATGATCCTGTGTTGACAAACTATTGAAGACCCACATTTAAGTGTTAAAGGGGTCATATTATGCTTTTTTAAAGATCATTATTTTGTGTATTTGGTGTAACAGAATATGTTTGATAAAGAATATCTCTTTGGTTTTGAAACGTTAGTCTTTGCAACTTCAGGGATCTTATCTATTCACGAACAGCTTGTAACACTCCAAAGAGAAAGGAAAACTTGAAATCGCATCATATGACCCCTTTAAGGCAACATTTTCTCAACAACTTGCTGAGAAGAAACGTTTTCCCCTCCATCTGATCACTGTAAATATTCAGTTGCTGCTTTAGATTTTTTTAAGAATAATCAAATTGACTTTTCAGGTAATTTCAACTTCAATTACATTAAACTGACTTTAAAATATTGAGTTAAATGTCATATAACTTAAAAAAAAAAATGAAGTTGAAATTGGTTAAATTAATTCTGACAAGTCGATGGAAAAAAATATTTTGCTTGACTTATTAATCACAATCTTTTTGAGTGCTGAACTATGGTAAAGAGCTACAGTACTGTTTTGTAAAGTCTCTTAATGGTGGTATTGATAAAAGTTAATTATAAAGCTAATAAAATATTATTTTCTCACTTTTAATCGACTAAAAAATACACGTGGGGTTACCTTAAGGGGTGTTGTGGCATAGTGGTCAACTGCTCAATGATGGTAAATGGATAGAAAATATATTCATTTGAATTTATAAAGCCATAAAAAAAAAATTTGGGTTTGAATTGCTATTAGGCCTTTTTTCTAAGCATATCTCCTTTAAATAATACAAAATAGAGTGTCTTTATGTCAGTTATGTGGAATGAAGAATATCTGTATGATTGATTCAACTGATAAAAGTTCGATCCCATAGGTCTTACTCATTGCTATACAGTGACCCATGGGTTAATAGAGCAGACATGCGTTTGCTTACATCCTATTACCAGTGCATGACAGAGAAGGTGCAATTCGTGAGAAAGGCCACCCCCCAATAATCGAGAAAGGCCACATATCAGGAGATGATCAAAGAAACTACTAACGACTCCGTATTAAAGTTGTCCAAGCATATGATGACATTTAGTCCAGTGTGACGAGCCTTTTTGGTTCATTACATGCTAAATCCATTCCCGTGATGAGATCCTGAATTACTGAAATGGAAACTATGCGAATTTCAGCTCTGGTTATCTGCTTGGAAGATGCTTGTGTGGTGATAGTGAGCAGTTTAGATATTGACCATGCAGACATTCTGCCTTTTATCCACATGTAAACACGGTTTATCTCAGTGAAACATGTGCGTGAAAGCGATTACAAGGAGGTTAGATGTCAAGATTTGGTCAGAGAAGTGCAAGAAATGAGAATACAGTATTATGTTGGATTTGGAGAGGTAAAGGAGATCATTCCAGCTCTAAGGCATGAGTTGAAGGTGAGAGATTACAAGGACTAGAACACAGTGTCTCTGGCCTCTGGGCTTTTATCCAGATTAGACCCAGATTCCCATTTCAGGTTCTGTTACGTAGAGCCGTTTGGCTTTGGCCTGCAGCACTTTGACCTCAGAGGAAGAATTGGAAAGGTTTATTTTTTTCTTTTAGGTAATTAAAACACTTATCACCTACTAATCTGAATTTAGGTAAATACTGTTCCATGGGCGTTGCTAGGCCATTTTTATTTCATTTTTAGGCCATTCAAATTCGTGATCGTCTTAGTCCCCTTTAAATTTCATATGAAAATGGCGGCAGACTTCGATCGGCTCCTCCTCGTCTTTCAGCGCGTTCTTTGCAGGTGTGTGTTTATCAGGGTTGCCAGGTTTTCACAACAAAACCCGCCCAACTGCTACTGAAAACTAGCCCAGTCACGTTTCGAGGGGGATCCCCCGGTAAAAATCGCATTCCGATGAGGTAAAATTCGCATTTTAGGGGCTGAATATCACGGTATTGGGGTCGCTTAAACCCGCGGACATGAAAAACAACCCGCGACAACAGTGTTAAAATAGCCCAATTCCGCGGGAAAACCACGGACTTGGCAACACTGGTGTTTGTTTATCGATAGATTGTTAAATTATCTGCATCGGTGCAGTTCTTTGTCATAAATACAGTTTACAAAATAGGTAACACTTTACTTGAAGGGATGTGCATAAGACTGACATGACACCTTCATAATCATGACATGACACACGTCATGAATATGAAGGAGGTTTTATGCATGTTTATGACAACTGTCATTAAGTGTCATTCGCTCAGTTGTCATTTCATGTCAGTCTTATGCACACCCCTTCAAGTAAAGTGTAACCACAAAATATCATGGGGAAGCAATCGGTTCCCCATCTACTGTAGCCCAAGTTTTCACTGCGTTCACCCCTCATCACACCACAGTAAAAACACCAAGGAAGGGGTTACACACTAAAGAGTACAAAACGGACACACACACACACACACACACACACACACACAGAAATGAACTGGTGTGGCTGTTACAATATGGAAAAATTGAGCCAGAAGACTCAAATAAGAGGTTGAAATCAGATTAATTAACCACTGATAAAGCATTCCTGTTCATTTTTGTTCCATTTTTGTTGAACTCTGATGTTATGTGTAATAAAACGTCTTTCTGTGTTCAGGTTTGACTGTAGTAAAATTTATTCAAAAACTTACATTTCAAACCAACAGTTCAATCAAAAAAAACCTAAACCAGGGGTGTCCAAACTCGGTCCTGGAGGGCCGGTGTCCTAAAGAGTTTAGCTCCAGCCCCAATTAAACACACCTGAAGCAGCTAATCAAGCTCTTATAGGCATACTATAAACTTAAAGGCAGGTGTGTTGAGGCAAGTTGGAGCTAAACTCTGCAGGACACCGGCCCTTCCAGGACCGAGTTTGGGCACCCGACCTAAACCTTTACAAAAAGGTGTCTTTGAGAATGTCTAAATATAAATCCAAATCCACAACTTAATAAAAACAAGTACTTATGTCTAAAAACAACTAGAGAATGAACAAGCCTTTTTATATAGAGCTCTATAGGAATCTAGTGGCTTAACCATGTCATTTCAGATGTTTTTACTACCACCAGATGGAACTAATCTGCCTTCAAAAATTGGATTTTAAAGGCATTGTCTGGAGTCTTTGTCCAGAGAAAGTTTTTTTCGTCAGCTGAACAATCGTGTTAAACAACAATACTTCAGTCCCTCACAGCCTCGTTTTCATTGCTGTCAGAAATTAAATATGGCGCTGCCCTGACTGAAGTCTTTTTTCTAAACATTTGTGCTACATATTCAAGTCTATGGCTTTAAATCAGACAAAATAGCATCCTTACATCATTTGTTTGTAGTGAAGAACACATGCTACGTATAAAAGCTAATTTGAATGCATCAGACACCAGAATGAGGTTTAATTGCTTTAATTTGCCCATCGCCTCACAGTGCTACAGGATGATTCCCTTTACAGAACTGTTAATCTCATTATTGCCTGTAGCGTCACTTATAATCACAGAGAGTAAGACAGCTTTCAGAAGAGGAGGACAATAAATAATCTCAATAGGTTTTGAAAAACAGCATCTAAAAGAAAAGATTTATGAAAACATCATGCACTACAATATGCATCTCGCTAAAACAGTTTAGTCTTTGAAAATGCACAGGCAATTTGATCCAATCAAAAGAAATGGAAGACATTATTGATCAGAGATGATGAACAGATCTATGTACAAA